AGCTTGAGGCGGCATTTCCGATAGTTGCAAAGCAACATGTCTTCATACAAAGACATGATAATAGTTTCCAGCAGAAGAATCCTAACAAGGAATAAATGAAAAGATAAGTAAGACAAATTGTAATGAATGTGGACTTTTTTAAAAAATGTACTTTTATTTTGACAAAAAGCACATTTTTTTATTTATTAAAATTATATTGATTTCAGCCTCAATGCTGTGGTCTTTCATTATACAAATCTGTGAATTAAGTTATACATACAGATAGTCCCATCTCTTATTGATGTCAAGAATACTGTGCACAATGGCAAATGTTTAGAAACATCACAAAGAAATACAAATTAAATCTGCCCCATTTTCCAACACCAGAACACAAAGCATTCTATTAAGGCCAGGCATGATGATGGTCATGAAAGCCTAATAGAATTTCAGAGGTAGAAGTAGGCAGATCTTTTTAAGTTCAAGGTCAGCCTGATCTATACAGTGATTTCTAGGACAGTCAGGGCTAGTATATCTCATATGTGGCAAAAATGAGGCTGCACATAACTGCAGTAAAAATTATAAGTGACACTCAAGTTTGTTTTGTTTTGTTTTTTAAGATTTATTTGTTTATTATGTATACAGTGTACTGTCTGCATGTCTGCCTGCAGGCCAGAAGAGGGCACCAGATCTCATTACAGATGGTTGTGAGCCACCATGTGGTTGCTGGGAATTAAACTCAAGACTCCTGGAAAAGCAGTCAATGCTCTTAACCTCTGAGCCATCTCTCCAGTCCCTCAAGTTTTTTTTTTTTTTAATACATCTTGAGTTCTCATATTCCTTAACCGAACTGCTTTGATTTTAAAAGACTAGCTACATGACAAAATTAGATATGAACTATTGAACTATGCTAATTCATCTATGATGAAGCCTGAAAATCTACATTAGAATGCTTGTTTAAATTTGTTTGTTTGTTTGATTTTTGAGACAGGGTTTCTCTGTAGCTTTGGAGCCTGTCCTGACACTCACTCTGTAGACCAGGCTGGCCTGACACTCACAGAGATCCACCTGCTTCTGCCTCCCGAGTGCTGGGATGTTTAAGTTTTATTATCAGTTAAATAATACATCTATCAATATGGCGATAGTTTAACACATTTACAACTGATTCTCTAGACTGTTACTTTTCAGTAGTGTCCACTATAGAAAGCAATAGCATCAACAGTCATCTATTGAATAATAGTGCTGAATCAATTAATTATACACCAAGGAAAAGGGAGCACATTCAACATACAACTTAAACACGTTCCTTAACAGTGTTATGGGCCACACCTGTAATCCCAGCACTAGGAGGCTGAGGTAGACCTTTCCTTCCTTGTTGGAGGCCAGCCTGGGCTACACAGCAAACTCCTGTCTCAAAAAACAAAACATATTCCCTATGCTGGGATGCCTCGCCCTGCCTTGAAGCAGGAGGAGGAGCACGGTCCTCCCTCAACTTGATATGTCAGGCTTTGTTGACTCCCATAGGAGCCCTGCCCCTTTCTGAACAGAGGAAGGGTGGGGGGGCTGGACGGGAGTGGAGAGCAGAGGGAACAGGAAGAGAGAGGGAGAGGAAACTGGTTGGGGTGTAAAATAAATGAAACTATTTTAAAAGAGAGAGAGGGAGGGAGGGAGAGAGGGAGGGAGGGAGGGACGGACGGACGGACGGACGGGGGGGAGGGAGAGAGAGAGAGAGAGAGAAGAGCAAGCCAGGTGTTGGTGGCTCACGCCTTTAATACCAGCACTGGGGAGGCAGAGGTAGGTAGAGCTCTGTGAGTTCGAGGCCAGCAACCCTGTCTCAGAAACCAAAAAATAAATAACCATAATGTTCTACTAACAGGGATCAATGGATACGCTGAGAGACACCTTCATCTCAAATGTCACACCTGCACAACCTACCACCTGTGAGATAGCCGCTAGAAGATCAGTCATCCTTGGCCCAAGGCCACATCCTTGGATTCGGTGACTCTGAGGCCACTATGGGCTACAACGAGACCGTCTTCAAACGAATATACAGACGTCCTTGCCGAGTTTCCAGACACAGTTCACCTGACAGCCAGAGGCCAATTTCACTTTACCTCCCCCCAGAGAAATGCACCCCGTCCTCGCTGGGGGTGAAGGAGCAGCCAACTCCACATGGTCACAAGGCAGGCGGGAAAGTCATACAAGATGACGGCCAAGTTCTTCAGAACAAGTCCCACACAGTTTTCACTTAATTTTCACAGAGGAAACGACAGACAAAATACCTGCAGCAAGGAAAGCTAAAGGTGCCGGCCTTCCACGAAGTGGGACACGCAGGATTCGCGCGTGGCCCAGCTGTCAGGGCGCATGCGTGGTGACCGCAGGGCCTGCTGGGTAGCACGAGGCAGGCTGCCGGGTAGCACCGGGTCTGGTTGCTGAGGTAATCCGCCAGATGCTTCGCCTCCCGCCTCTACAGGTCAGTCAGTATGCATTTAGTGAAGTAACTACTTTAAGTCTGTATTACAGATATTCGCAAAGTGCTTAAAAGAAAGCGATAGACCGGGCGGTGGTTGCGTAAGCCTTTAATCCCAGCCCGCGGATCTCTGAGCTCGAGGCCAGCCTGGTCTATTGTGCGAGAAAACTTGTCTCAAAAAAGTAAAAAAAGAGGAAGAAGCGACAGGATCAAGTGCCATACTTTTTTGTGAGATTTATCTTTAGCCAAGTGTGGCAATGCATTTCTCTAATCCCAGCACCGGAGAGAAAGACTGAGCATTGAGTTCCAGGCCAGCCAAGACCACGTAGTGAGATCTTGCTTTGCCCTGGAGCTGGAGTTAACAGACAGTTGACTTGTCGATGCTGAGAAAGACAGTGTCCTCTAGGTCAGCAAGCACTGCTTCAGTCCCAGGAGTCGTAATTGAGATATCTTTGCTGGTAGTATTCAAGTAGTTAAGTGGATTATCTTGTCTGTTTTCAAGATTTATGTAATTTATGTATATAGGTATTGTCTGCATGTACATCTGCACAGCAGAAGAGGGCATAGAATCCCATGAAACTAGTTGTGACCCACCAACTGGTGCTGGGTATTGAACTCAGGACCTCAGGAAGAGCAGCAGCAGCAGCCTACACCCTTAACTGCTGAGCCAGCTCTCCAGTTCCTAAATACTGCTGTCACTTTGCCCATCAGAGGTTACCTATATATAGCAACTGTGGTTTTTCTGCTTGTCAATGTTTTTTTCCAGCTGAAAATTAAAATTAAGCTGGAAAGAGAGCTAGAAGGTCCCAGCACTCAGAAGGCAGAGGCAGGCAGATCTCTGAGTTTGAGGCCAGCCTGGTCTACAAAGCAAGTTCCAGGACAGGTCCCAAAGCTACACAGAGAAACCCTGTCTTGAAGAACAAGCAAACAAAAAAGTAGTTCAGGTGCAAACCTTAATGCCATTCTCTTGCATCCACCTCCTCAGAAGAGCTGACCCTGTTATGAACTAATTATATCAGCACAATGGACACCAACCAATGGTCTTTCCCAGTATCCAATCTTTCTTGTTTTTGAGATAGGCTTCATGTTTCCTACAATGGCAGTGGTGTTGAGCTCACTGTGTAGCAAAGGATGACCTTGAACTTCTGAACTTTTACTAAATGCTAGGATCAGGGGAGTGTGTGCTAGAGATATTAAACCTGGTTTTCATGTTAGGCAAACAGCTAAGCTACAGCCATTAAACCTTATCCCTTCAATTACTTTAACAGCTCTAACATTTGTTTTTCCCCTAGCAACTTAATCCTACTGGTACAAGTTAACCAGGGGAAAGTGGAAATGTAAGGATAAGTAAATATTAAGTTTGTAGGACGAAATAAAAGATGAGAATTTAGGCAACCTCAAACTACAGCAGGCTTTATTCAAAGACAAAAGGTATGGCTGACATCTCTAGTTCTGGCACAGGACCCAGTCACTCAATGACCAGAATGACCCATGCTTGAAAATGGGTTTCTGTAGCTAAGGACAGAGAATGGAGAAGTTGTTTTCCTTAGACAAGCTGGTTCACTGGGTGTCTGGGGTTGAGGTCAGCTGCTTTACTACTGCACTTGAAACTTAACTTCTACTTCCTGGAACTGTTTGGGGAGCAGAGTTCCTTTAAGGAGGGCTGTGGGTAAACCATACATTACCTACCATGTTTAAGATAGTTGAGCCTTTTGAGTGTATCTAGTTTTAACTGTCCCAAACATAGATCACAAGTAAAATACAATCTCATTTGAATTTAAGAGCAAAAACACTCAATTTTCACAATACTTACTTTGTAAACTTACTTCCATGTTACTCTTATGTTATAAGAGATGTAGCCAAGTAATACATATGCTGCCTTTATTTCCCAACAGGCAAATACTAAAACATACCAATTTACTCTCCTAATAGACATTGACTCTAGGCTTCTTTAAAGTTAAAAAACTACTCATCTAGACTAAGCCTCTGTGCATGTCTCCTTGACTAAACCTGTCAAAAATTCCTATAGAATACCCAGCTGTGTTAACATAAAATTCCCAAGTAAACTATATGCTCCCCGTGACATGAGAACTCATTGCTAGATCAGGAATTGCTTTGTGTTCTTGTTCATCTAATTCCAAGTTGATTATTCTGTTGAGTAAGCTTTCACACTGAAGATTTTAAGCTGCTTTGAAATGTATTTAATTGGACCAGGTGGTGGCATCACATCCCTTTAATTTCAGCATTTGGTGGATGGGGGGCACAGAGGCAGGGAAATCCAATCTCCAGGCCAGCTGGACCTACAGAGTGAGTTCCAGGACAACCAGGCCTGTTAGAGAAACCATGTCTTTGAAAAAGGAAGGAGAGATGGATTAGTTGCAGTAAAACTAAGGTTGCAGGAGCTGGGTTTGATTTCCAGCACCCACATGGCAGCTCACAACTGAACTGAACTGTTAACTCCAGTTCAGTTCCATGGACTCTTATGCCCTCTTCTAAACTCCAACAGGAATGTAAATGGTAAATAGACATACATTCAAGTGAAAACACACAGAAATTAAATTTGAACAAATTTATTAATTACTTGGGAAAACAACAAACCATTTAAAATCTAAACATGAGTGTTTCAGTAACTCCAAGGATCAATCACTATAGTCCTGTGGAATGATACAATAAAAAGTTCTCTATAGCTATGGCCCTGGGTTTTGAACTCTTCACCCTACAGTCACCTCCTGCTTTAAAATTTGTTTGTCTGGGTAAAGTTCAGAAAACAGTAGGGGGACAGACTTCTGGTCCTCAAGAAGCCCTGAGAAGGCAAGCAATATGATGGAGTGCTTAGGCTCTCTATGAGGAGCCAAATTTACCTGCAACCAAATTATGAAGCATTAGAACAGACACTCTGGCTTAAATGGTCTTACACATGATCAACAAGTTAGTGCCAAAACAAGATTAACCCACTAAGAAAACATTACTCAATTATATACTCATTGAATACTGTGCCTAATTTTAGAACTAAATTGGGCTTCAGGAGCCAATGGCAGAGGCAATGAGTAGGCCACCTGGCAGATACAGAATTTAACTTTATGCGTATGGGTGTTTTGCCTACATGTCTACACATGTTTGCCCCATACTGCCCCACTCCCACCAATCCACGCCTCAGTTTCTGTTCAGAAAAAGCACAGGCCTCCCATGTATATCAAGTTGCAGTAAAACTAAGGACCTGCCCTTGTATTATGGCTTTGCAAGGCAACCCAGTATAGGGTCCCAAAAGCCAGTAAAGAATCAGAGGCATCCCCTGCTCCCACACTACACAACTGTCCCATATGTAGAGGGCCTAAGTTCAGACTCTGTGAGCTCCATGAAACAGGTTAGATAATTCTGTGGGTTTTCTTATGGATGTCCTTGACCCCCTTGATGGGAGGAAGGATTCCGTTCTTCAGCAGGATTCCGCAAACTCAGTGGGTCTTGGCGTCTGTTTCCATCAGTTGCTGAAGGAAGCCTCTCTGATGACAGTTGGGTCTAGGCACCAATCTGTAAGTATAGCAGAATATCACTAGGCATTACATTGCTGGCCACTCCTACAATCTGTCACCCTTACCCCAGCACAATCTCCTAAGCAGAACAGACTGTAGGTGGAAGGTTATATGGCTGGGTTGGTATTGGTAGTCTTGCTTGGTCATAGGAGGTGGCCAGTTTAAGCTACAGCTGGAGTCACCCTTTTAGATTCCTGGGAGTTTTCCTTGTACTAGGTTTCTTCCTGACATGTCTCCCCCACTTTTCTAGTGGGTTCTTTGAATACTCTCCCTCACCTCCCTACCTCCACCTGATCTCCCATGTTTCCATCCCAACTCACCTCAGTCCACCTACAAAAATCTATTTCCTTTTCCCCCGGGAGATCCACATGTCCCCAGTGAGCCCTCCTTGTTACTTAGCCTAAGTCTGAAGTATAGCTTAGTTATCCTTTACAGCTAATATCCACTTGTCTTATACTATTATTCTCATCTAAGATATAACCATGAGGAAACTTGCCAAGGTTATATAACTTGTTAAGTGATAGAACCTTAAACCCAGTCCAACTAGAAGCCTACTATGTATACTAAATAGAACCACTATACAATTATTTTGACTTTGACTATTGATCAAATTACAAAGCAATATTTAGATTCTGTCAAAATCTCATCCTCAAGCCTGACCATAAAAGGATGCAGACATTATTGTACAACTATGATTTACAGAATGAAAGTCCAGACCAGAAATGTGTTATCAATCTGGTGTTCTCTCCTAAACTGTAAATATTTGTACTTCTTGAATTCCATCCTTAGTTTGGGGGGGTGGTAATTGTTCATAGCTGTTATGTACTCCTAAATGATTTCTCATAGAAACATGTATAGAAGGGTCAAGTAAGAAATATATGGCCCATAACCTGTTTGCAATGCAAACATTCAATAAATATAGATGTATAAAAAAAAACTGCATAGTATTGAGCCAGGTGTTGGTGGCACATCTTTAATCGAAGCACTCGGGAGACAGAGGCAGGCGGATCTCTGTGAGTTTGAGGCCAGCCTGGTCTACAATCAAGTTCCAGGACAGGCACCAAAGCATCCAAAGCAGTACAGAGAAACCCCGTCTCTAAAAACAAACAAAAAAACCTGCATAGTATTGAACAAGTAATCATATAAAGACTGAAAAGTGATGAGTTTAAAACTGTCAGACTTAACTAGAGAAATGGCACATCTGAAGAGCAGTGACTGCTCTTCCAAAGAACCCAAGTTCAATTCCCAGCACCCACAGGGTGGCTCACACCCCTTTTAACTCCAGTTACAGGGGACTCAAGGTCCTTTTCTGGCCTCTATGGGCACTGTATGTACCCATATACCAATATGCATAGAATATAAAACTTTTAAACTGTCAATCTCATTAGTTATCAGAATACCAGCTACCAGTACTTCTCTTTTTGTAGTGTTTAATTAATGTTGATACTGTCAAATTTTTTACATTATGAATTCCCTGGGAGGGAAGGGCTAAAGCCAAGTAAGAAATGTTTACCAAGCTGATAAACATTTAAGTGTTTGCCCTAACTTTAGTCTGCTCAGCACATGTGTTTAATCAGTGTGATCAGCTGAAACACGGACTTGACATGTACTTCATCATAGCAAACTGTAAATGACTGAGGAAGGGCAAACTACTGATACTGTTCTTCAGCCAGGAAACCCAACTAATCCAGCCTCTAGTAACACTAGATCCCTTACCTTTCTTGGTAAAGGTGATTATAATATTCTCCTCTCAACTAAATCCAGCTTTTTAATCTAGGAATCCAAATTGAAATATCAGAACTACTTAGCATCATCTCTGGAAAACAAAAATATACAAAGGTCATATTACACTTAACATAAATCATACCAACATGCTCCAAATACTCAGTTGTGAAGAAAAGTAGACTGTTCATTTTCCATCTGACTCACTATTCAATACAACTTAAAGCCAGCTGTGGCACACATCTGCCATCAAAGCAAGTAGATGGAATATTTAAACCAAACTTTTGGCCACACACTAAGTTGAAGGTCAGCTTGAGCTGCAAAGGCTCTGCAAAATATAAATTTGCAAACAAAACCCTAAGTCAGCATCAATTTGGGAGAAGACCTCCACACAAACTCAGAATTTTAAGAATTAAGATGGGAGGGGGGAAAGGAGGCTGGGAATCAAACAAACAAACAGTTAAGATGGGGCCAGAGACACCCAAGTTAGTAGCTCTTGCTGCCCTTCCAAAAGACCTGAGTTCTGCTCCCACTGCTCACACCAGGCAGCTCACAGCAGTCTGTACTCCAGCTCCAGTGAGAGCAACTCTTCTGGCAGCACACTCATAGGTACCCACATGTTCACATAATTAAAATAAGTATTTTCTAATTTAGATAAAAGTCACACTAAGTAACCAATCTTTGAAAGGAAAAAAATAGTATGGGGAAAAAAAGCCAATTCATACAGTTTTAAAAGAAAAAAAGTAATCCAAAATAATTTTCAAATTGAGCCAATACTGATTGAATTTAACAACTTCCCGACATAGAAAAAACATTTGGAGCCCCTGTTGACCACAAGATGGCAGTGTAAGGCTTCAATGAAAATAAAGTTCATTTACCACAAATACTTCCCGACACTTTTCTATTCTTCACCTAATTATGAGCTAGAAATTTTCCATATTATATGCAATTAACATTAAACTCACGGTTTAATGAGTAGGCTAGTGATAGACAACAAAAAAAGCACTAGGGTGCAGAGCAAAACTAAAAAGAGTAACTCTCCATGTGTGGTATCTCAGTGCAACCCAGCATTCAGAGGTCGAGGGAGAATTTCTAGATTCCAGACCAGTTTGACCCAGTCAGACCAAACAAAAAGAATCCCTTATGAAGGAAGGCTTCTGCACATGAAGGTATGTACGTCTTAGGTAGGTATTAACAGGCTCCAAAGCTACAGAGAAAATTTAAAAAAGAAAGAAAAAGAAAAAAAGGAAAAAAAAAAAACACCAAAAAAACCAGCATGTGTAAAAGTATACAGTCACAGACTCAAACAGCGATGGAATCTGGAGGAAAGAACTAATGCAAAGGCCATGGAGGTAAGCTGCTTACTGGTTTGCCTCCCCTCAGCCTGCTTACAGAATCTAGGACCACCATCCCAGGGTTGGCACCACCTACTATGTATGGGCTGGGCCCTCCTACATTGATCACTAATTGAGAAAATACCTTCCGGCTGAATCTCATGGAGGCATTTCCTCAACTGAGGTTCCTTCCTCTCTGATAATTCTAGCTTATTTCAAGTAGACACATAAGCCAACCAGTACAGGTATGAACCTGTAATACCAGCCTGAGGTCAGAAGTTCAGCAAGTTTAAAACAAGCTTGAATAATTTAACAAGACCCTGCTTCAAAATAAATTTTTATATATAGGGCTAGAAAGAGTTACTGCTCAGTCAGTACCCAGCACCATGAGAAGGGGCAGGGAAACAGCATATATGTACAATGCAGAAATTCTGGGTCAGAATGAGTACCTACCTGCCTTTATAGTTCCATCAGCCTTTAAGCCTCCCTCTTGAGAATGTCCAAATGCAAGGCCATTTTATAGATATTCTGGAGTTTTCACAGGACATCTGAGCTGGCACACAGAGTGCTACAGTCCCAGCACTTTCCTGGACACATTTCATCTTCAACCTGAAACCTGAGAACAGGAGAAAGTAAACACCGAGGTGATGAGGCACAGCCATCAGCACAGACTATCAGCTGCTGAAACAAGAGAACACTGGCAGAATAAATACACTGGGATTATATATGACCAGCCATGTGGCTCATTACTAGCTCACCCCCCCCCACCCGGCCCATGACCGGCAAGATGAACAGTACCTGAAAACTGTGGCTCAAGACAGCAGGAAGAAATAACTTGAAATCAGAATGCAAGAGGTGGTAAAACTTTCCCTGCTGTTAACTTGCTATTTTCCTACCCTAGGGTTTATAATATACTTTCTATAGATTGCCTTTTTTCTAAGTACAATGGTTTGTGTTTTTAGAAAAAAACGCAAGTAAGGTTTAGAGAAATGGCTAGGTAAGCTTGATGGTTAAAGATAATTATTTATTCCCCAGCTTTATTAGGGTGTAATAGACAAATACAAACTGCATAGTTTAATGGGCAGTGTTTTGATAAGAGGCATCCATTACCGCTTACCCTTTCTATGGAGGAAGATGTGTCAAACACACTTAATATCTACTGTTAACAATTTGAGGACATGCTGAACTTCCTCCCCTGTTTCAAAGGTAATCTATAGAAAGTAGTTCAACTTTCTAGATTCTACACATAACATCGCCCTCGTTCTATTTCAAGTAGTATACACCTTAACCTGTAAATTAAGTGTCTATTTTAGCCATTGTGAATGATGCAGTCAATGAACAATGGAAGTTTTCTTTGTACATTCCATAATATAATGTTTTTTTGTTTTGTCTTCTTCCTTAGATAATGGCATCGAGGAGCCCATACTAGCCTTGAATTTACTGGAGAGCCAATGGTGATCTTAAACACCTTTATGGAATTTTTTGTTGTTTGTTTGGTTTCTCGAGACAGGGTTTCCCTGTAGCTTTGGAGCCTGTCCTGGAACTAGCTTTTGTAGACCAGGCTGGTCTCGAACTCAGAGATCCGCCTGCCTCTGCCTCCTAAGTGCTGGGATTAAAGGCGTGTGCCACCAATGCCCAGTTTTGTGTTGGTTTTTAAGACAAGTCTAGCTTTTCTTAGACCACCCTGGCCTTAAGAGACCTGAAAATACTGTGATTAAAGGCATGGGCAAACCTTGAACTTCTAATTCTCTCAATCCACATCTATAGTGTAAGATTCAGACACTGTGCCATTGTGGAGACAAACCAAGCTAGGCAAGCATTCTAGAAACTGAACTATGTGCCCTGCAGAGTTCAAAAGGGGACACCAGATCCCCTGGAACGGACGTTACTAAGGGCTGGGAAATAAATGTAGGTCTTCCTTTTCAGGACGTGCTCTTAACTGCTGAGTCATCTCTCCAGGCCTCAAACAACTAGAATCCTTTTACATAATACTAAAGCCCAACCAAATCTAATGCCACACATGCCAGCTGACTTATCTACAGTTACTCATTTGGAGGAAAATGATAAGACTATAAGCTATTTAAGTAACTACCAAGGGAAAACTAAGTATGACATGAGCATATACTAGAATGTGACAACACATGTGGATGTCTACATTTAGAAAAAAGTACAGGGTATAGTTAGTTATGTGCAGAAAGGAAGGGTACACATACTTTACTTCGTGTGCATCCCACATCCTAAGTCACACAAGTCCTAGGGAGACGTAAGAAACTTCACTGTGCACTCTGAACCTATTCAGTCCCCAGCACTCACATGGTTGGTGTCTCAAAACTACCAGTAACTACAGTTCCAGGAGATCCAGTGTCCTCTCCTTGACTGAGGCAGTAGGCACACATACATACATGCATCATGCATGTAATCATGGATTTAAAGACAAATGAAGTATAAAGACATCAGAGTCATCAATGCCTATCGGTACATTAGCTAGGTTAGGATTTCTCTTTCTCACATTTCCTGCCTATAATAATAACCCATGGGCCAGTTGTGATGCCGCACACCTTAGATCCCAGCACCCAGGAAAGTTATAGTGGATCTCAGTGAGTTGAGGTTTACATAGCAACATAGCAAGTTCCAGGAAAGTAAGAGACACGTGAGACCCTGTCTCAAAAATTTAAAACTAAGCAAGGATGCTGAGATGGATGCTTACCCCTCTTTCAAAGGACCTAAGTTCAATTCCCAGCACCCAGGTAGAGCAGCTCGGGTACTAAAACCCCCTTGTGTCTCAGAGAATACCTGCATACTTACTGTCTGCATATACCCCCCACATGTCCGTACATAATTTAAAAACAAATCCTTAAAAAGGCATGACCGCTGGGCAGTGGTGTGGCACGTCTTTAATCCCAGCACTCCGGAGGAGGAAGGCAGGCGGATCTTTATGAGTTCAAACTAGTATCAAAACAAACAAACAAAAAAAAAGCGAGTCTGCCGAGACCACACTCGGGGTCATTAGGGAAAAAAAAAAAAAAAAACTTTTCATGAGAAAAAATATCCACAATATGTATTGTAAACTCACATCTTACCTTTACAAGGTAGTTACCATTTACTACACACCAATTAAAGCTGAACTTTGTTCGCTCTTCAAAAAAGGATGCCCAGAATGGCTCACACTATCCTCCAATGTCACCAGAGCAGTAGCATGCACTAAATTGAGATCCCTGGTCCTTCTCAATGCGTCTACGGCTCTTTACACGGTGAGCCCTAATATGGCTAATTAAATCGCCTGTTCTCGGAGTTTGTCATCTAGTCTCATTTGCTCTGAGCAAAATGTAGTATTTGCTCAGATGAGCAAATACTACATACAGCAAACACTTCAAAAAGGTTTCTCAAATCCAAGGTCGTGGCTTCCACAGACATTCATCAGAAAACTAAAACACCGACTGAACTCACCTTCCCGGGATCGCCCGAGCAGATTAGCGAAACAGCGCCAGGATTAATAACGGTGCCTACCTAGCAAGCAAAAAACAAAGCCGAGGATTTCCCGAGAATCAGGCACTCCGTGCACGCGGCAAAATCTATTTCTGGGTCACCAGGTCTCGGGACGCAGGGCTGCCAAGGCCCACGTGGAGACAAGCCAGGTAGTCCACCTTGCTACCGGCCGGTAACCTCCCAAAACAGAAATGAGTCTCCTTTGAACTCACAGACTTCAGCGCCGACCTGAAATAAAAGCCTGGCCCTTGGGTAGACCGCTCAAAAGAAAGAGAACTTGAAAACCAGAGACCCAAACTGCTAGCGTACTCACCAGCCCACCAGAGAGGAGAGGTAGAGGAAGGAGAAGGAGGGGAAGCGACCTAAGTAAAGTGCCTCCGAGTTTGATTGGCTGAGTTCAAGGAGCCTCCCCTCCATGACCTTAAAGGGTGCAGACGACCTGCAACTTAACTCTCTGTTTTAAGATTGAACACCACCAAATTTCTTTCTTGATGAGAGAGAGCACAAAACACAAGCAAACACAGGATAACTGAAGGGATTCAGGCATGTCCTTGTTCCCTTCTATTCCAATTTCCACCCTGAGCTAACCTCCTGTCCTGTGCGACCTCCAAGGTCCAATTATAAACAGTTCACAACCATCCAAGTTAGAAGCTGCATTCAAGTTAACCTTCAAGCTAACAAACAATAATTAACATTTATTAACGGGTAGTTTAGTGTTTATGCTTTAAAGTAAAATTTGAATTCTTGTACACATCTAAGCCTCCATTCCCTCGACTTAAAATTATTGTGGAAAGCCAAGGGGAGAATTAGCGGAAACACAGGTTGCCTTTGAAATTAGGTTTGCCCTTGATGAAAGCTTTATTTACATGCCATTTTATATTGCAACCGGATACTGTCATTCAGACAAAACAGCAGGCTACAAAAGGGGAAAAGGTCAATTACACATCCAATTAAGGATTAATATCCTAAATACACTAAAAATTAGACATAAAAAATTAAAAATGAAGTACAGTTGAGCAGTGGTGGGGCACGCCTTTAATCCCAGCATTGAGGAGGCAGAGGCAGGCAGATCTCTGTCGGTTCGAGGCCAGCCTGGTCTACAGATCGAGTCCAGTTCCAGGACAGGCTCCAAAGCTTCAAAGAAACCTTGGGGGGAGGGGCATGGAGTACAAACCTAAACAAAAAATTCCCAAAAGAAGAAACAGAGCCAGGCATTGGTGGTACACGCCCTTAATCCCAGTACTTCGCAGGCAGAAGCAGGAGGATCTCTGAGCTCAAGGCTATCTGGGTCTAAGCTTGAGTTCCAGGACAGGTTCCAAGCTACAGAGAAACCCTGTCTGCAGGGGGAGGGGGGATGCTGATGAAACACAAATGGCTAAAAATCACCTTTTAAACAAATTCAACATCGGGCGTTGGTGGCACACGCCTTTAATCCCAGCACTTGGGAGGCAGAGACAGATGGATCTCTGTGAGTTCGAGGCCAGCCTGCTCTCCAGAGCGAGTGCCTGGATAGGCTCCAAAGCTACACAGAGAAACCCTATCTCGAAAAACCAAAAAAAAAAAAAAAAAAAAAAAAAGTTCAACATCACTAGTCATCAAGGAAATGCAAATCGAAACTTCTTTGCTATTTCATCTTACCCAGTCAGAATCAGCCAAGATAAATAAAACAAATGACAGCTCATACTAGTAGCAAGGATGTGGGGAAAGGAGAAGACTCATCTGGGAGGAAATCAGTGTAGTGTTTCCTCAGGAAGTAGAAGCTGGGAACAGTTCTACTTCAAGATCCAGCAATACCACTCTTGGGCATATACACAAAGGATGCTTCATCCTACTACAGAGACACTTGCTCAACCATTGTTCATAATAGCCAGGAATTAGAAACAACATAGATGTCTTTCAACAGATGAATGGATTGGGGGTGGGAGTGAAAGATTTTAGTTTGCTGAGAGAAAAAGTTTTGAAAGACTTTAGTTCACAGAGAAAAGTTTCCCACAGGCCTTGGCCCATTACAAGGATGTGCCCAACCCCGGGCACATCCTATGGTTTAGACGGGGCAATTGCCAAGACAACCCTCTTTGGGTCACACCTGGCTGGCCAACAGACAATCAAGGACTTTCCAGGGTACGTTAAAGCAGGTCACACCTGGGTGACCACTCTAACATGAGATCATACTTTGTAATCAGTCACTTTGTGCCCCTTGCCTGTACGCTGATCTGCAGTTTTTTCCTATATAAGGAGCTTGCACCCCATGCTGGAGTGTGCTGCTTTCCTGGTATTGCTGACACCCGAATGCACATTCGTTCAATAAACCCTCTTGCTTTTGCAGCTCTTGGTCTGGTTTCTGAGTCTTGGGGGCTCCTCGGGACCCTGAGGCCCTTAGGGGTCTGGGGGTCTTTCAGGAGGTGATCGTATACAATGGAATATTATTCACCTGTTAAAAGGGGGGGATTACTAGCCAAGTATGGTGGCACATACCTTTAATCCCAGTACTCGGGAAGAAGAGGCAGGTGGATCCCTGAGTTTCAGGCCTAGTCTACAGAGAGAGTTCCAGGAAAAACCAGGACTGCACAGAGAAATCCTAGGAAGAGAAGGAGGAGGAAAAATAATTATGAAATTCACAGGTAAATGGATGGAATTAGGAAAAGAAAATCATCCGAAGTGAAGTAACCCAGACCTTAAAAAAAAATGTAATATATTATCAGTACTGCTAAATTAATCCAATTTATATATTTTAAAATTGCTTTGACTTCTAAATTGAAAAATAAAAACAGGTTATTTGGGAAAAGAAAAAAAATGTAATATGTCTTCTCTTATGTTAGCCTTTGTAGCACAGGCTGGCCTCAAATTCAGGGATCCACCAGTTTCTTCTTCCCCTGTCTCTGCCTTCAGAGTGCTGGGGTTAAAGTCGTGTGCCACCACCCAGCATGGATGTTAGCTTTTTTGTTTGTTTGTTTTTTCAAGACAAGGTTTCTCTGTGTAGCTTTGGAGCCTATCCTGGCACTCGCTCTGGAGACCAGGCTGGCTTCGAACTCACAGAGATCCGCCTGCCTCTGCCTCCCGAGTGCTGGGATTAAAGGCGTGCGCCACCAACACCCGGCCTGGATGTTAGCTTTTGAGCTTTCAATAGGCATGCTACAATCCATATAACTACAGAAGTTAGGTTTGGAGTAAGGGACTCGGGGGGGGGGTAGAATATACAGCTAAACAAAAGGATTTAATGGGAAGGGGGAATGGAAGAGAGAGGTAAAGAAGGGAATACAAGTAACTAAGGGACATATGGAAACCTACTACTGTAGACACTTCTTAAAATATGTACATGTAGGAAAGAAATCTAAGTGGAGCTGCCAATCATCATCCTGGGGCCTACTGGTGGGAAACAAAAGCCTGCAGAGCACTTGTTTTAAGGTGCCAAGCTTTAGTCTCAAGCCAGGAGGGTGAGTAAGAAGCTGGCCATTCTTGGAAATTTGTCACATTTATTACCTAGCCACACCCCCTTCCTCCCTAACTTTCTACATAATAGTGAGTCTAACTCCTAGTCTTTTACTACCAGAGGAAAGAGATAACCAACCCAGCTACAAACCCTCTACAATGGTAATCTACTCGTATGATATGCTGGTGCAAATAGTAGCACAAAAGATGTTGGAGTGACCAACCATTCTTTGGTTGGATTTTAGGGCCACTGCATGGGGTAGAACCCATGCCTAAATACTGCTCAGGTGGTCAAGAACCTAGGGGAAAACCAAAAACTATTGTTCTCCTAAAGCAATAAAACAACTCCTAATGACATTCTGGTATACCCATAGATCAGCATCTCCCTCAATCATCATCAGAGATGCTTCTTCCTGCAGTAGACGGGAACTAATACAGAAACTCACAACTGGACAATGCACAGAGACTGATAGACTTTGGAACACTCAGTCTTAAATGTGATGTCTTCATCAAATTCCTCTCCTTGGGGTTCAGGGAACTATGTGGAAGAAGAAACAGAAAGATTGTAAAAGCCAGTGGTGATGGAAGACATCAAAGAAACAGTGCCAAGTCAGGCATTTGTGGTGCACACCTTTAGTCCTAGCACTTGGGAGGCAGAGGCAGGTGGATCTCTGTGAGTTCGAGGCCAGCCTGGTCTATAGAGTGCATTCAGTACAGGCTCCTAAGCTACACAGAAGAACCCTGTCCGAACCCCCTCCCCTAAAAGAAAGAAAGAAAGGAAGGAAGGAAGGAAGGAAGGAAGGAAGGAAGGAAGGAAGGAAGGAAGGAGGAAGGAAGTGCCTTCCAGACACAACAGAACTGATAGGAACTCAGAGACCATGGCTGGATGCACAGGGCCTGCACATGTTGGAGCCAGACGGGGTCCCAGGTCTGGACACAAGCTCCCACCCCTAACCCAGAAGCTATGTGCAATCGATACTCAATTACTTTTCTCTAATGGAGTCTTACCTGATTTAAAGGCAGGCCCTGCACCCAGAAGTAGATGTCCAACACAAAACAAACTCAGTGGTATTTTTGGTTGGTTGGTTGGTTTTGTTGTTTGTTTTTTGTCTTGTATTGCTTTGTTTGGCCCCTTTTTACTTTACTGATCTTTTGCTTGTATGTTATGGTTTCCAACTTCATGTTTTTAGGGGTTTGTTTGTTTGCTTGTGTGTGTGTGTGTGTGTGTGTGTGTGTGTGTGTGTATGCGTGTATATTTTTCTTATGCTTTTTCTGCCTTTATTTTTTATTCTTTTGTTTTGTTTTTCTGAGAGGGTTTCTCTGTGTAGCCCTGGCTGTCCCGGAATTCACACTGTAGATCAGGCTAGCCTTAAATTCAGAAATAGGCATGCCTCTTTCTCCAGAGTCCACAATTAAAAGCGATCAGCACCACACACACACTTTATTTTCTTTAATGAGCTTTGGGGTTTGTGTGTGTCGGTGGTGGCATGTGTACATATCACTTGTGATTTTTATTTATCTTTTAATTGTCTGTTTTCTAAATCAAGAGCAAGAAGGCATGGAGTTGCCGGGCATTGGTGGCGCGCGCCTTTAATTCCAGCATTTGGGAGCCAGAGGCAGGCGGATCTCTGTGAGTTGGAGACCAGCCTGGTCTACAAGAGCTAGTTCCAGGACAGCCTCCAAAGCCACAAAGAAGCCCTGTCTCGAAAAACCAAAAAAAAGAAAAAGAAAAAAGAATCTCAGAGAGAAGGTGTGGAGTTGGATGGGTGAGTGGGGAGATGGGGAGGTGGGGAGAATCTGGGAAGAGATGAGGGATGGGAAACCATAATCAAAATTTTTATTTTTGAGTATTGGTCATTAGTTAATCTGAGGTATCTACACATGAGTCAAGTCACAGCTTCTGACCTTGGTAGGAAAGCCTGGCTTACAATGAACCCTGCTCCACTCCCATTTCAAACGCTTCTCCTAGCTCGTGCTCCTAGCTCGGCTCTGCTCTTTTCCTTGGTGAGGAATCCCCCAGCCTGTTCTTCTATGGGACTACAAGCTACAGGTTCACTTTTGCTTTTGATATGTACATATAATATATATATATAATTTATTCTTAATTGCAAGCTACATGCATAAGCTACATCTATTTTTTTTCTAAAGCCATAATATATATGGTCATGATGTCCAACTCTCTTCTAAATATTTGTTTTATGGGGGTTTACTTGGTTTCTTTCAAGACGGTTTCTCTGGCTTTGGAGGCTGTCCTGGAACTAGCTAAATATTTTAGTAAAATTGTACTAAATATCTGTTGTAATCGCAGATTTGCGCAGCTCTCAGGGAGTAGTTAAATGCACAGTTAAAAATGAGTAAAACAGAATTGAGATTTGGAAGAAAACATAGAAATATAAAAGGGCAGGGGAGAGTAGTCTGAATTGGGTTATGAGGTCCGCGAGGTACCTCACCTCAGCCATTGAACTCGATCTGCGCTGGCCGTGAGTCTGTTCCAAGCTCCGGCGAGGGAGGCATCCGCCCGCTCGGGGGCCTCTCCTGCCCAGTCTGCCCACGCGTGGAGCCCTGCTCTCTGGGAACTCACCTCCCCGCTCGGGGAGGGCCCGGGGAGGGCCGCCCCAGTCTCAGACCTTCCCAGGGGCCGGGGAGTGACGAGCACTCAGCACGTGGCCCCGCTGATGAGCTTCCTCCGCCCACTACAGCCTGGTGAATGGCGGGCTTTATAAGGCTCCGGAGAGAAAGCGCTTTCTCAGTTATGGTGGTTTCCCACAAGGCACAGCGCACACTTTATTTGCATGCGATCTAGCGCAGGCTCCCGCTCCAGACAAGAAGCCCGCGCTTTTCGGCTGCTTATGATGACGTCGGGCCTCAAGCGCCATGGCGCCGCGGCGGCGGAGATCCAGCTGCAGGAGGCGAGGTGAGAACCGTGTCCGCAGAGTCAGAGGGAACAGCTCGTCTTTTCATTCTACAGTTCAATCCGAAGAGGCGTGTGGAGCCGTAACAGCAGACATAACTGCCAAGTACTGTTACTCACTAATGCCATGCAATTAAAAGAAGGTCTTCGTTATTGAGTGTAGCACTGCCAAAGGATAAACGCGTATAGGAAAGTGATTAACTACTTATGTCAAACTTTTAAAGATACAGCCGAGTTCAGAAAGTAAAATTCAGATCTCGGAATTGTTGGCTGTGGATTGCATACTGTGTTCTTAATTGTATCCTATTAAGTTACATACTATTGGTGTGGTCTCATTTTTACATTTCTTACAGCTGAGGTATGACCAACTCCAGGGTTCTGAAGCTTCAATAAGCTGGCTGTAAACTGGTCCAGACTGTAGAACACCTTATTGACCATGATCACATGATCTAGTTTGAAATAAGGTATGGAAGACCAAAGGTTAGCAGGCCCATGCCACAAGTAATGAACTTCGAACATCTCTGTACATTTATTTTTTTCCTGTTTTTTGTTAATATATGGTCATGAGAGCACTTTAGGAAGGATTGCTTGGATTGTTTCAAGAGTAGTGAGTGGTGTGGCATTTATTTGTAAACGTCCAAAAGAACATCTTAAATTATTTCTTAAAAAATTATTTAATCTTTGAATATTATAAATATATATATATATATATATATATATATATATATATATATATATATATCTCATGTGTGTGTGTGCCTACAGCCTATTGGCCCATTTAATCCTAGCCCTTGGGAGGGGCAGAGGCAGGAGGATCTCTGTGAGTTCCAGGATAGCCAGGGCTATGTAGACAGACACTATCTCAAAGTTAAAGAAAAGAAATTGTCAGAGGGCTAGAGAGTTGGATTGTGCTTTTTAAAAGCACTTGTTGCTCTTGAAGAGGACCTGGGTTCAATTCCAAACACCCACGTGGTTGGTCATAGCCACCTTACCAGATTTTATGCCTTCTTCTGACCTCCAGATACACAAAGAATTCATGTAGTACACATGCATAATTGCAAACAAAACATCCATACATGTAAAAATAAAATCATAACCCCCCCCCTTTTTTCTTATTGTCAGCATATTCAAGGAAAGGGACACAACTCTGGTATCCCTGGCTGCAACCAAAGTTTTTTTCAGAGACCTCCACTCAGGCAAATTCTTTTGCTTAAATTAGAAATAAAAGAAGAGGCGCAGGATGAGACATGAGATGAGACATATTAACCAGTTTATTCTAGGCCCGACAGAGTAAAGAGACTAAGAGGGAAGAGGAACAGGGTTAATGGCTGACCGCTATGGCTGGTTGCCAAAGAGAGAGAGGCAGAGAGAAGAGACTGAGGGGCAGAGAGAGCGTAGGTGGGAAAGGAGAAGAGAGAGGAGCAGAGAGAGCATAAGTGGGCAGGAGTCTGTCTTTTAAAGGGGTCCTTTACACCTGCGTGCAGACTTAGTTCCCATGGAACCCTGAGCTGACCAGCATACTGCCTGAGTGGATTCCACCAGGTAACAGTGGCAGACCAGCATAATGCCTGACCTTTCACTCTTGGCTTTAAGGTAGAAAGGAATTTCAGGAGTATGCAAGATGAACCAGAGTTGGGAGTTTATTAAAAGAGATACTAGCATACATTTTAAGCACAAGGGTTAGAAGAAAAGAAATACCTGAGAAGAAAGACACCACAGAACATGCGTGTGGGCTTCTCTAAGAGGAGTTGCCCTTCTTTATAATAGAGATGTATGCAAGAGTTGTTAAAGAATTTAAATAAGATTGTATTTCCCGAGGTGGGTCTGACAGAATTACAATGTCAAAATCTAGATCATAAGGGATGCAGGAAGTTAGGTTTTTCTTCATGTAAACAATGTTCATCGTCTGTTTAAGATTTCCATAGAATGGGAGAGAAATGAGCCCAACCCCATTGCCATATATATCTAGGCGGTAAGCCCAATTGATTGTCATTTTAACATAAAAAATATTTGAGTATCTAGGTCAGCAATCTTCACAGCACATGTTAATTTTGCTGGAATTCTTGCTTCTCAGACTCTAGAGTGAGGGGTTCCTTATATTTTCCTCCTAACTTTTCCTGGTTTTTTTTTTTTTATTTTGCTTCGGTGTTGTTTACTTATTAGATCATCTTCTGTAGTAATTCTTTGCTTGTTGATCTTGCCTTTAGCTTCTGAGGTGCTAAATGAAGCCAAGAAAGTTAATAATGGCAGCAAAGCAACAGAAGACTTTCCTCCTGGCAAGAAAATGCGTACATGCCAGAGAAAGGGGCCTACGGCTGGAGGAAAGGATGCAGACAGGACAAACAGCCAGCAAGGTAACAGGCCAGGCAGCTCTCGGGCCTCTGAAGGAAGTGGGATGATATTTCTTCCTCTTTGAAGATATAATTAATTTCTGTATCATTTAGGCATTCTGCAGTACCAGTATACTTTGTCGAATCCTTTATTTTCATAGATTTGAGATGGATTACAACCTAGGCAGAAGACCCAGATTACTCAGGAAGGGCAAAGTTAATTATGACAGCTTTCAAGCCAAGACAGCCCTCTTGATTCCCACATAAGTACCAACAGTGCGCATTTCTGTTCCCTCAGACACGGTGAAGGCCTTGCTGATAAAGGGCAAAGCTCCTGTGGACCCAGAGTGTACAGCCAAGGTGGGAAAGGTAAAAGCATCGGGAACGGAAAGCGGAGTTCTTTTGTTTTCATGAGTCCTGTCTAAAATATTGCTAGTGATTGATCTTCTCCAGAATTGAGAAATGGGGGTGTGGGGCTTCAAATGAGCAGAATATTGGGTCCGGAGAGATGGCCCAGTGGTTCAGAACATTTGTTACTCTTCAAGAGGACCAGCGCCGACATGACACTTCATAACCACCTGTAACTCCATTTCTAGGGGATCTGATACCCTTTTTAGACCTCCACAAGTACCCGACATGCAAGTGGAGGATATACATATATGCAGGCAAAACACTCACGCATTAAAAGGATGAATAAATTTAATCTAAGAAATTCACAGAATGCCATCATAATTACTCTAGGGGTTGCCATCAGCTTTCCACTTATTTCCTTTTTCACCCAAGAAATGTTATGATTGTTAAGGGAGGACAGCACGGTTTTGATGAGAAACTTTCATGGAATGGCATAAGTTACTGATGAAAGGGAAAGGGATCTGAAGGATCCAGAGGAAAGCTTCCTTTTTTTATTTAAAAGAATCTTTTTTTTATTTTACATACCAATCCCAATTCCCCCTCCCTCCTCACTCACCCCCACATCCACTCCTCAGAGATGGTGAGGCTTCCCATGGGGAGTCAACAAAGTTCGTCACATCCTGTTGCAACAAGACCAAGGCCCTCCCCCCTGTGTCTAGGCTGAGCAAGGTATCCTTCCCTAGGGAATGCGCTCCAAAAGGCCAGTTCACGCACCCAGGACAAGTCCTGCTCCCACTGCTAGGGGCCTCACAAACAGATCAAGCCATCCACTGTCACCCACATTCAGAGGGCCTCGTTCGGTCGGATGCAGGTTCCCCCACTGTCAGTCCAGAGTCAGTGAGCTCCCACCAGCTCGGGTCAGCTGTTTCTGTCTGTGGGTTTCCCCACCATGGTCTTGACCCCTTTGCTCATATTATCATCACACCTCCCTCTCGTTGACTGGACTCCAGGGGCTCAGTCTAGGGCTTAGCTGTGGATCTCTGCATCTGCTTCCATCAGTTGCTGGATGAAGGTTCTATGAGGACAATTAAGGTAGTCACCAATCTGATTATAGGGGAAGGGCAGTCCAGGCCCCCTCTCCACTATTGCTTACAGTCTTAGCTGAGGTCATCCTTGTAGATTCCTGGGAATTGCCTTAGTACCAGGTTTCTCACTAACCCCATAATGGCTTCATCTATCAAGATATCTCTTCCCAGGCTGGAAAGATTGCTCAGAGATTAAGAGCACTGGCTGCCCTTCCAGAGGTCCTGAGTTCAATTCCCAGCAACCACATGGTGGTTCACAACCATCTGTAATGAGATCTGGTGCCCTCTTCTGGCCTGTAGGCAGACATGCAGGCAGAACACTGTATGCATAATAAATAAATAAATCTTCAAGATAATCTCTTCCCTTGCTCTCCCTCTCTGTCCTACCTCCAACTCAGCCATCCCTCCTTCCTCTCCTCCCCCTCTTCCTTCCCCCCCACACTCCTGATTTTCTCAGGAGATCTTGTCTATTTCCCCTTCCCAGGGGATCCATGGATGTCTATGTCTCTTTCGTTACCTAGCTTCTCTGGGGTTATGGACTGTAGAAAGCCTATAGAAAGCAGGTTTCTTTTGAGTTAGAATCTGTTAGGCCTCTGTAATTAGTATGTCTTAATTTCAATAGTGATAGACTGTGTGTAGAACATATATTTCCATTTCTCTTCCTGGAAGACAGATGTTGGATGTGCTGGAGAATAAACCTTAAAGCATTAAAGAAACAAACAGGGTGTTGCTTTGCTCTCAGAACTGAGTGCATTGATGCCATTTGTCTTCTCTCTTCCCAGGCTCATGTGTATTGTGAAGGAGATGATGTCTACGATGTCATGCTAAATCAAGTAAGAGGACAAGTCACTCCAGTAGTGGGAATTTCTTTTTTATTACTATTAGTTTCAAAATTACGTTTATTAACTAAATTTGTGTGTATATGTGTTTGGAAATCAAAGGAGAGCTTGAAAGAGTCAGTTCTCTTCTTTTACCATGAGGGTCCCTGTGATTTAACTCTGCCCACGAAGCTTGGCAGGAAGTGCCTCTGCCCATTGAGCCCACTTGCTAGCCCAGGCTGTCAGAATTTCTTTGTAATATAAACTGCTCACATTTTTCCAAAATGTACATTGGCTTTTTGATTTTTATGGTCTGCTTTTTTGCCCATGTTGAAGACTGTTTGTTTGTTCTGTAGGGTTTTCTGTATGTGTGGTTTTTGTTTTGTTTTGTTTCTTAAGGCAGACTCTGACAAAGCCAAGACTGGATATATAGTCTAGAATGACCTTCAACCCCCATCTGTTTACCTCTGTCTTCCAAGTGTTAGCATTTCAGACATGTATCACCACATCTGGTTTTATGTAATACTTGGGAGCAAGGCTAGGGTTTTATACATGCTAGGTTAGCTAGGTTTTCCACCAACATTTGTTGTTTATTTATTTTATTTTGTTTTTGTGACAGGTTCTCACTGCGTAGCCCAGGCAGGCCTTGAACTTGCAGTCCACCTGTTTCCATATTTGTAGGATTGGGATTTCAGGGGCACAGCTATCTCAGCCAGTTCATACTGATATTTTAATAACTGTAGTTATTTTTTTTTTTTTAAGAAAAGTATTATTGCCAGGTGTTGGTGGCGCACGCCTTTAATCCCAGCACTCGGGAGGCAGAGGCAGGAGGATCTCTGTGAGTTCGAGACCAGCCTGGTCTACAAGAGCTAGTTCCAGGACAGCCTCCAAAGCCACAGAGAAACCCTGCCTCGAAAAGCCAAGAAAAAAAGAAAAGAAAAGTATTATTACTGGGAATGCATCATGGGAGGAGGCACACAATACCACAACGTGTGTGTAGAGGTTGGCAGATAGTTTTGTGGAATCAGTTCTCCATCCTACTAGCCCCACTGTAACCCCTCCCCTTGCCTCTGTGTGTGTGTGTGTGTGTGTGTGTGTGTGTGTGTGTGTGTGTGTACACTGCCAATCGCCCTTACTAGCCTGGCAGTCGTTCTGTAGACCACGCTGGCCTCATACTGACAGTAATCCTACTGCCTCAGCCTCCTGAGTATTAGAATTACAAGTATGCACTACCATTTTCTGTTTCTTTTCTTTTTCTCCCAGTTTGAGAGACCAAGCCCAGTGCCTTGTGCTTGCCAAATAACACTCTACTAACCTAGCTCCGTCCCTAACCAGTCTTTCTGTTTATTCTCTCTCTCTGTCTCTCTCTCTCTGTCTCTCTGTCTCTGTCTCTCTCTCTCTCTCTCTCTCTCACACACACACACACACACACACACTCACACTGTTGTCTTGAATAGATACTTGATCTATTCATTTATTTCCTGGAGATGACTTATACTTGAATTTATTTACCTTTGTGTGTATATACATGGGTGGGTGTTCTTATGAGTACACATGTATGCTTGCATGTACAGGCCAAAGGTCAATTTCAGAAGTTGTTCCTAGGTGCCATTGACTAGTTTTGCTTTTTTTTTGCTTTTTTTTTTCCTTGAGAAAATTTCTCTTGCTAACTGTAGCTCACATAATACACTAGGCTGGCTGGCCAACCAGCAGGCTCCAGGAATCCACCTGGCTCTGCCAATCCAGGGCTGGGATTACAGTGTGCATCACCATCCTCAGTATTTTATGTGGATTTTATATTTGTTCAGGGTCTTATGCTTGTTTAGCTAGTACTCTACTGGCTGAACTTTCTCACCAGCCACATACTTCAATTTTATTGATCTAACATATATAATTTTAACAGCTAGCTAGTATTCCTTTTTTTTTTTTTTTTTTTTTTTTTTTTTTTTGGTTTTTCGAGACAGGGTTTCTCTGTGTAGCTTTGGAGCCTATCCTAGAACTATCTCTTGTAGACCAGGCTGACCTAGAACTCACAGAGATCCACCTGCCTCTGCCTTCCAAGTGCTAGGATTAAAGGCGTGCACCACCAACGCCCAGCTTACATCACCTATTATAAGCTGGGCTGGGGAACTGACTGAGTCTGAAATACTGGCAGTATAAGCCTGGGGACCTGAGTTTGGATCCCCAGCACCAAAGTAAAAAGCTGGGTACACTGGTGCACACCTGTAATCCCAGCAGTAGGGAGGCTAGGAGACAGGAGGACACACTGGGGCTTGCCAGTGAACTCCAGGTTCAGCAAGAGACTCTGTCTCAAACAATAATGTAGATTGAAAAAATACCCCTGGAGGGGGCTTTTATGTAGGTGTTGGGACTGGGTAGGGGATTTCAGGAAGCTTCCATGATCCCACTTCTGATTCCTGAGAACCAATTGTTAACTTCCTGTTTATATCCTTATTCTTTCAGGATTTATTTGTTTTCGTCGTGCTATGCTTTTCATTGTGGCAATTACTGGCTATTTATAACCAAGGAAACATCCCTGGTTTACGTGACTTCCAATTGTAAAACTCCCCTTTATGTTATTATTCTCCCACTTTTACAGACCAATCTCCAGTTCAACAACAACAAGTACTATCTTATTCAGCTGTTAGAAGATGACGCCCAGAGGAACTTCAGTGTTTGGATGAGGTGGGGCCGAGGTAAAGGCTCATGGTGGATTGTATGAGTTGCCATTCAGAAACACAGAGACAATCAATACAGGGAGTAGGTTTAAGTCTGTGAAGGGCTCAGGAACCCACTTGGATTTTGAGGTTGGGGAGTGGCAGGCATCCTCATTAGGAAGTTTCGTGAGGCTGAGAAGACTCCCTGCATTGGACTGATGGTACCGGTACCGCCTATACGCTGTGACACTCAGTGGCATCTTGTGTCAGTATGATCTGTTGCCTGAGCCCTTGCACCTTTCCCTTCCTCTTTTCCTGCCTATTGTCACACGATAAGCAGAGAGGCCTTAGAGAGATGGCTTGTTACTACTGGAGAACTAGCTATACTTGGGGTTAAGGGCATGGAACCATCCTGTGTGTGGCATTTACTTTACAGTTGGGAAGACGGGACAGCACAGCTTGGTGGCTTGTTCTGGTGACGTCAGCAAAGCAAAGGCAATATTTCAGAGGAAGTAAGTACTAAAAAATGAGTTAAAAAACATACCCTTCTGGGCTGGAGAGATGGCTCAGAGGTTAAGAGCACCGACTGCTCTTCCAGAGGTCCTGAGTTCAATTCCCAGCAACCACATGGTGGCTCACAACCATCCCTTATGAGATCTGGTGCCCTCTTCTGGTGTGCAGATATACATGGAAGCAGAATGTTGTATGCATAATAAATAAATAAAATCTTAAAAAAAAAATACTCTTCTTGGATGTCTCTTGTTAAAGAGTTTCATGTAAGGATAATTGGATCTAAATGTCAGTTCCTTTCTACTGTGACCACCCTGTGATTAGGACATTGTAACTTCAGTCAGTGATTAAATCAACCTAGAACCTTGAAGTTGGCCAGAAGAATCTAGAATATCTTTAGCACAGCAAACAAATCTAAGAAATTAGACTATCCACCTGGAACTTTAAACTTGACATGGTGATTTGAGGGCAGACTTTCTGGAGTCTGGATACGCATTTCTTTCTGGAAGAAGCATTGGTTGTCTACCTTTTATTTCATATACCAATGGCTTCTGTGTTTTGGGACCTTTGGGATGCCTGGGAAGCATTTATTCCCAATTTTGCTTGATTCTGTTTTTCCAGTTTTTTGTTCATTAGTGTCCTAATTTACAATTCACACTACAGAACACTGAGCTGTGAGGGGATGCAGATTGTTTAGAAATCGTGTTAGGAAATTGCTGTGTGCCTCCCTCTGGCAGTGGACCTTGATTTGTATGGTTTCCCTACCTCCTTGGGCTCCACAGATTCCTTGACAAAACCAAAAACCATTGGGAAAATCGTGAGAACTTTGAGAAAGTACCTGGAAAATACGACATGCTACAGATGGACTATGCTGCCAGTGTGCAGGTAACCTGACTCTACAGAAAGTGTCTTCTAAATAAGCGAAGTCTAGCCAGGTGGTGTAGGTCAGTGCAAGACCAAAACAGGCTTGGGTATGAGGGGTCACTGCTGTTTCTCACCTCAGATAACTCTCCATCACCTTTTATTGCAAAGGGCCCGAGTATGCCTTTCTGTTGTATCAATAGTCATAAGACTGTAGTCTCCTCTGTTATGTACTACAATTCTTATGAGACCCAAGGCCCTGCTTTCTGAAATTCAGTGTTATGGACCAAGAGAAGATCGATAAATAACCAAACTGAGAAATTATTTAAAGCTGGCTTCTTCACTTCTACACCACTGTGATGAGATCAAGGACTGGCCATTCAGGTCAGAAGTAGAATGCTTGCCCAGCATGCATGAGGCCCTAGATTCAAAACTGAGAATCAAAGAAAGAAAAATAATTTTGACAAACTAAGGTTTCCAGGATGCTGAGAGCTTTCCTAAAAACTCATAGATCTGAAAATTAGGAAACTTTTTATATTAATAAGGTCAGGTTTGTGGTATAAAAGCTGTGTTTGCATGCTTAAAGACTTTGTTAGAAGGGCCGTTCTTACTGAGTGCTTCACTGTGAGGGAGTGCTAACAAGGTAGGGTGGAAATCATGTTGGCTACCCTAACTAGAATCCTCATAGAACGTACCAGCATGCAAACACACTGAGGATCACTGTAGACCTGCTCCCTACAGGCACTCATATATCCCTTCAGATATTAGAAGTTGTGTTTATTTTGCTACAGGATGAAGACAAAACAAAGCAAAAGGAGTCTCTTGAAACTTTGAAGCCAGAGTCAAAGCTGGATCTTCGAGTCCAGGAGCTGATAAAGTTGATCTGTAACGTGCAGACAATGGAGGAGATGATGATAGAAATGAAGTATGACACCAAGAAAGCCCCACTTGGTAGGACTTGGGATTCTGTTCCACAGCCCTGCATATTTCCTAGTTCCTTTAATGAGCAGTCACATCACTATTTAAGGATTGCTGCAAGTACTGAGGTTTTGAAAATTGAGTTTTAATTGGGCAGAGATGTATAGTTTACAAGGATGGGACCCTAGTTTTCAGTCTGATCTCTGACTGGGCCTCCAGGAAAGCTGACTGTGAAGCAAATCAAGGCAGGCTATGAGTCTCTCAAGAAGATTGAGGATTGTATTCGCACTGGCCAGCATGGGCGAGCTCTTCTTGAAGCATGCAATGAATTCTACACCAGGATCCCACATGATTTCGGGTAAGGTCGCGCTGTTTCTTTACTTTGTTCTTCTGTTCACTCTTACTTCTGAAGCAACCACAGCAGCTATGGTCCTCTTAATCTTTTATTCCTAAGGAAATTGTTACCTTAACTAGAACTGGATCCAGTATGATTTGTAACTAGCTTAGAATATGAGAAGTCAGTACTCAGGAGGCAGAGAGACTACAAATCAAGAAAACCTTAAAAATAAAAGAAATATGGGACATAATTTCTCAACTTTATTAGAACCACATTTCTGACCAAGTGAAAGTTTTGGGTTTTTTTTTGTTTTTTTGTTTTTTTTCTGGTTTTTCTGAGACAGGAGCTTTGGAGACTAACCTGGCATTCACTCTGCAGACCAGGCTGGCCTCGAACTCACAGAGATCCACCTGCCTCTGCCTCCCGAGTGCTAGGATTAAAGGCGTGCGCCACCAACACACAACTCCAAGTGAAAATTAACCAACTCAAGAGACAACAGATCCCCACCCCTACAAAAAAAAAAGGTTGTATCTAGCCACTAAGTAAAACACCTTGCAAATCACTCTTCCTTCCATTCTTTTAAGATGACTACACCCACACAAACACAAATACCACTTTTCTGAAACCAAATGATTGGTGTTAAATTAATAAAACATATTACCACCCTGTGTGTGTGTGTGTGTGTGTGTGTGTGTGTGTGTGTGTGTGTGCGCGCGCGCGCGCGCGCGCACGGACACTCGTGCTCACATTCATGGATGTGTGTGTTCCTCAGGATTGAACTTAGAGCCTTGTATATGTTACCCTAACACTTTCATTCTGAGCTATATCCTAACCCAGTTCATTCTTCATTCTGGTTTTTATTGTTTCCATTTCCTCATTGCTATCTGTGAACTCCATGACCTCAAAGTAGTCCTGAATGACCAAATGTTTATTCCTTCAAGATTGCATTCAGACTGCCTTATTGACATCAGTGTAGCTTATTTTGAAAAAAAGGATACCAAAAAAGAATTTTAGTTCTAGTTCTGAACATGAAAATCTAAACAGATGTTTTATCTTACTTAGAATATGTATTTAATATCAAGTTTTTCACAGGCCTTCCTCATCCAAATAGGAAGTCCTAATTTTTCTTCTGTCTCTCTTTTCTCCCTCTCCCCCCTTCTTAGATTAAAGGTATGTACCAGGCCCAACTTTTTTTCTTTCTTTTTTTCTTTTTAGTAAGAACATAAATACCAGTTTTCCAATTATTTTTTGACATTTTTTTTTTTGTCATTTTTAGCCACAAACCAGATAGCTCATAGTGGTTGTATCTCTGTCCTTAGACTCTCTATCCCTCCAATAATCCGGACAGAGAAAGAACTGTCAGAGAAAGTACAACTGCTAGAGGTGAGCTGGGAGTGCATGGGGAAGTTTTCACTCTTAACCTGTGTTTCTTCACACTGATTCTTTATCTCTCTTTCTTAGGCACTGAGGGACATTGAAATTGCCCTTAAACTGGTGAAATCAGGGCACCAAGGCCCAGAACACCCACTGGACCAACACTATAGAAACCTACACTGTGCATTGCGTCCCCTGGACCATGAAAGTTATGAGTTCAAAGTAATAAAAATAGTCACTTATTTTCACATTCTCCCATTCTTACTCCAGTAAACCCATCCTTCCCATCCCTATATTTACAGGAACTTGGGAGTGTGGAACTCTTTCTGACCACACTGTTAGGTTATTTGGGGCCAGATAGTTCTGCTAACTTAGAGCAGAAGCCCTGCCTCCTTCTGTCCAGTCCAGTCTCTTCCAGGGTCTCCATTTGCTGTTCTTTCCCACAGGTGGTTTTGCAGTACCTACACTCTACCCAGGCTCCTACACACAATAACTACACCATGACCTTGCTGGATGTTTTTGAAGTAGAGAAGGAAGGGGAGAAGGAGGCCTTCAGAAAGGACCTTCCTAACAGGTCTGAGTCCAGCTCTGGTTGAGTAGACATTTCCTTGCCTGAAGTGTAGTGAAGGAGCTTGGAAGGTGGCGGGGGCAGCTGTTTTGTTTGGGTTTTTTTGTATTTATGACAGATGTTTTAGGAGAACAATGGAGTGGAATAACAGGTCTTTCTTAGGATGCTACTCTGGCATGGTTCCAGACTGAGTAACTGGGTAGGAATCCTGAGCCACGGACTCCGAGTGGCCCCACCTGAGGCTCCCGTCACAGGATATATGGTAAGTAGAAACTGACCTCTAGAAGGAGCCCAGAGGAAAAAAAGATACAATGATGATCTTGGTCCCCCAATCCAGATTAGGTGGTACTAATCTGAAAGAGTTACAACAGCTCACTGATAACCACCTCATCTCTTACTGTGTCCCTCTTCTTTAAATTCTAAAAGATAGGGCAGAGATTTGTGGCTATTTGGTTGTTTCTTAAATTAAATAGGAAAGGGCAGTAGGGGAGGGACCATGTTGTGTTTATGGGAACAGAACCTCATGGTCATTGCTGAGTTTTTGTTGTTGTTTTGAGACAGGGTCTCACTGTGACCTGGGGTGGTTTGGAACTTGCTGTGTAGACCAGGCTGGCCTCACACTCCAAGACCTGCCTGCTTCTGCCTCCTGAATCCAGGGGTAAAAGCCTTGGACCACCATGCCAGAACCTTCTCCTACAATGGATTAAACAGCTGATCTCCATTTTTGTTCATGTATTTCAGTTTGGGAAAGGAATCTACTTTGCTGACATGTCTTCCAAGAGTGCCAATTACTGCTTTGCGTCTCCCCTAAAGAGCACAGGACTGCTTCTTCTATCAGAGGTAAGGCAGGGAACATGGCTATGATCTCTAGTTCACTGAGAAAATTGCACTCTGGATTCAAGAGGTACACCTGGAATGGGATCTCCATTGCATTAGATTCTTTTGCTAAAGTAACAAATAAAATACAAATTGGCATGTTCTGGATGGCTTTGGAATCGCCTGCCTCTGAACTGGGTATAGGCACTCACGGATCTTTTGCTTCACAGGTAGCTCTAGGTCAGTGTAATGAGCTACTGGAGGCCAATCCTAAGGCAGAAGGGTTGCTTCAGGGCAAGCATAGCACCAAGGGGCTGGGAAAGATAGCTCCCAACCCTGACCACTTTATCACCCTGTAAGTACCCAGAGCTGAGGCTGCTGGAAGACTTCTTTCAAATTGTTGAGAATTATTTGTCTAATGGTATGGCTTGGGCATCGTATGAGGCAACTGGCAGTGGGACCAAGATCTAACTATAGTGCATAAACTAACTTTGTGGAGCCCATTCTCTATGGAGAGATACCTTGCTCAGTCTAGACATGGGGGGTGGGGGGATGCATGCCTTGGTCCTGCCTCAACAAGGTGAAGAGACAAACTTAGTTGACATCCTAGGGAAGTGGGATGGGGGAAGGAGGGGAGAGCAGGAGGAGAGGGGGGAGAGGGAACTGGATTGAAATGAAGAAAGAAAGAAAGAAAGAAAGAAAGAAAGAAAGAAAGAAAGAAAGAATTACTTGTCTATTTCAAATTCTGGACCAAATACTAATGTTGACACATTTTCTTCCATTTGGCAGGAATGGGAGTACAGTGCCCTTAGGACCAGCAAGTGACACAGGAATTCTCAATCCAGAGGGGTATACCCTCAACTACAATGAGTTTATTGTCTACAGCCCCAACCAGGTCCATATGCGATACCTTCTAAAGATTCAATTTAATTTTCTGCAGCTGTGGTAAATGTTGATTAAATAAGCAAGAGAGGATTCAATCTTCAAACAAAACCCAGCAATATTACATTTTTGAACTTTTTGGTCATTTGTTTAATAAAATAGTATAAATCTACCTCTGGCTTCTTTGGGTTTTACTTTTCCAAACACATATTCTTTGTGTGTGGTGTGCATGCATGTGTGCACACATGGAGGCCAGAGGAAGGTTGTCAGAGTGTGCTCTAGCACTCTTCATACTGTCCTTTTTGTTTGTTTGGTTGGTTGGTTTTTCAAGACAGGATTTCTCTATATAGCTTTGGCTGTCCTGGACCTCACTCTGTAGACCAGGATAGCCTCCAACCCAGAATCCATCTGCCTCTGGAGTACTGGGATTAAAGGTGGGTACTGCCACAGCCCACCCCAACACTGTCCTCTTGAGACAAGGGCTCTTACTGAGTCTTGAGAAAGGCTGATGGCCAGCAAGCCCCAACAGTTCAGCCCTTTGAACCCAAAATTCTGGGGTTACAGATACATGCAGCCACACTCAACTTGTTTTTTAGATTTTCTTCTAAGTATGTGTATGTGTATGAAGTGTCTGTGTAGTTACGTGCACATGAGTGCAGCTGCCAGCAGAGGGAGCTGGATCCCCTGGGGCTGGAGTTACAGAGCCCTGTGCTGGCTGATCTTAGTAAATCAGCTTAACTACATCTGGAATCAGCTAAAACCCAAGCCGCTGGGCATGCTTATGAGGGATTTTCTTGATTGGATCATCTGAGATGGAAAAAGCCACTCTACAACTGGGCTACAGCTTTTGGTAGCAGCCCTTTTGAGGGATATTAGTTTAATTATATAAAGATGTGTTGCATGTGTTTACCTTGCATGCTGTAAGACACCTTATTGGTCTAATAAAAAGGTAATGTCCGATAGCTAGACAAAAGGTATAGGTGGGACTTGCAGGCAGAGAGAGTAGGAGGAGGAATCTAGGCTTCAGAGAGACAGAAGGAGATGCCAGTCAGAGACCCGGAGGAAGCAGAAAAGCAGGACATTCAGAATGAAAGAAAAGTAAAAAGCCCCAAGGCAAAATGTAGATGAATAGAAACAGGTTAAATTAAGTTGGAAGAGCTAATGGGACAAGCATAAGCTTAAGGCCAAACTTTCACAATTATAAGTCTCTATCATTTGGGAGCTGGTTGGTGGCCCAAAGAAAATTCCAGCTACACAGCCCACACAGGAAAAACCATGGAAGAAGGAAGCTTTACTTCTGCCTGCTTGATCTTACACTTTCTAGCAAGTTCATTTCTCCTGTTAATGAGGCTTTGACTGGTGTTAGAACCTACCTCTTTGGAACTCCAGTGTAGACTGAGGACCAGGAGCAATCTAAACATTCCCTAGGACTCCAGCACCAGATTGAAACTGTCTAAAACATGCAGCTCATGGACTCAACAACCTCTGTATTTTTTGGCCTCTCCCAAAAACATTGTTAAACTACTAGACTGTATTCTGTAAGCCACTGTAAAAATGTTACTGTACACAGAGTACAGGTTCTAAAGACTCACTTTTCCCATCAAAATATTAATTAACCCAATTCTATTTGATATCCTAATCATCATCAAATATCCAAAACTTGCATACTCTTTTGACCTAGAACAGATGGCCAAGTTTGCATATATGGCTTCACTGATAAGGATCTTGTCAAATCTACCTACTCACTATACCACTAATAAAACTGAAGAAGGGGCTACAGAAATGGCCCAGTAGTTAAGAGAGTGTACTGTTCTCCCAAAGGACGAGAGTTTGGTTCCCAGAACCCATTTCAGGTAGCTCTTAGCTCTAGCCTTTAAGGGCACCCTCACACACATTCATATATCCACACAGAGACACAGATAAGTAAAAATAACTTTTTTTAAAAATGCGAAAACTTATGTAGGCTTTATATACTTCACAGCTCATTCTAGAAGACAAGAATAAGCTGGGCGGTGGTGGCGCATATCTTTAACACCAACACTTGGGAGCGAGGGGCAGGCAGATCTCTGAGTTCGAAGCCAGCCTGGTCTATAGAGTGAGTTCCGGGACAGCCAAAACGGTTACACAGAGAAACCCTGTCTGGAGAAACAAACAAACGGGGCTAGAGAGATGGTTCAGAGGTTAAGAGCACTGGCTGCTCTTACAGAGCTCCTGAGTACAATTCCCAGCAACCACATGGTAGCTCACAACCATCTATAATGAGATCTGGTGCCCTCTTCTGGTGTGCATGCATACATGTAGGCAGGATACTGTATACATAATAAATCTTAAAAAAAAACAAACAAAACAAAAGACAACATAAACACAAAACAGATAACAATTACTACAATAAAAATTTAGACCAGTATCCCTTAAGATTTATTTTAACGGTCAACAAAATGTTGACTAAGCCTAATCCATCAACATAAAAAGGATTGTATGCCATGACTAACTGAGGTCACAGGAATGCAAGGTTGGTCCAACATGAAAATCAACCAGTGGAGGACAAAACTTGCCTGGTCATCTCATGAAGAAAAGGCATTGGAGCAAAATGCAACATCCATTTCATGACACATTCAGCAGGAATGGAAGAGTACTTCCCCACCCTGAAAAGGAATCTGAGAAGTGTAATTTAAAAAACTAGCAACAGAGCTTGGGTAGAGGGATTTTTTATTGGGGAAATGGGAAAATGGGAGAGGGGAAAGTGGCCTCTGGGGACAGGAGTGGCAGAAGAGTAGAGAGGAGAGGAGACAGAGAGACAGACAGAAGCAGAGAGAGAAAGAAGATGGGAGGTGGGCAGGGTCCTTTTTTAAAAAAAGGGAAGTAGTGACTGTGCACAGGTGGTGCTCTTAGTGGCTGCAGCTGAGGGCCTATCCTGCCAGAACCCCAAGGGCAGACCAGTACAGATGCCTGAATACTAACAAGAAGCACAGCCAACTTTGTACCTAATAGCAAAATACACAAAGCTTGTCTCCTTGGGTGGGGATGTAGCTAAAGTTGGAAGAGTGCTTGCCTTGCTCTGATGAGTATTCTTGGTTGTCACCTTGACTACATCTGGAATCGACTCACACCCAAAAATGGCTTGGCACACCTGTGAGGAATTTTTGCTCAATTAAATCATTTGAAGTGGGAAGATCCACTTCTAATCCAGATCTCTGAAGACAGATTTTGGGGGGTGGGAAGACCCATCTTTAATCTTAGCCACACCTTTTGCTGGAATCCTGTAATAAATGACTTGAAAGAATGAAGCTTTCCTCTTGCCTGCTTGCTCTCACACCCTCACTAGCAAGTCCATTCCTTCATTGGCATTAGAGGCTGCTTCTTTGGGAATCTGGAGCATACTGAAGACCAGCTGAGATATTCAACCTTGTGGAATGAACAACCACTGGATTCCTGAACCTTCTGTTCATAGGCAACCACTGTTGGATTAGCTGGACCACAGCTTGCAAGTCATTCTAATAAACCCCCTTTATCTTTATAGAGAGAGATTCATTCTATTTAAGTTCTGTTACTCTAGAGAACCCTGATTTGTAGAGTAGCATACATAAATCCCTGGGTTTATCCCCAGGATTGCACAAAGTGGGCACGGTGGTGCACTTAGGAGGTGGAAGCAGAATGATCAGAAATTAAAGTTGTCTACAAAGCAAGTTCTGAGCTACCTGAGACCTTGTCTAAAAACAGAAGTGGGGGAGGGAACCTAAGAATCTAAAGACAAGTCAAATCAGGAAGTCCATTCCACCACTTACATTCAGTATTTTCCTGGAGATACAAGCCATGGTAGCTAGTCCTAAGGACACAGGTGTGCCACTGGCCTCTGAGCTCAGCCTATGTCTCCCAAGTCCTCTGTGGCCCAGCCTGACACTGGCTACTGAGCTTGTCTGCCTGAGCTGTTCAGAAGATAGCAATTCACTTTAAAACCTGTGAAGGAACTTGGACTTGCTCTGCTACCTCAGCTTTGAGGGTCACATATACAAGAAGTTAGACGTCATCAAAGAGAATGACATGCTTGGCCTTGCTTACTGACTAATGCAGATGACCCTTGGGCTTCCCAGTCTGTCTGACCAAAACTGTAGACAATGTGACTCCCCATGCATCTGAGGTAGTGGTGGGTACAGACTACTGACATGAGCAGGACTTCCCAAGGTATAATAAAAAGAAACATTCTCATGAAATTTCACCTATTTTTTTTCAAAGATTTTATTTATTTATTATGCATACAGTCTTCTGCCTGCATGCCAGCAGAGGGCACCAGATCTCATTCAAGGTGGTTGTGAGCCACCATGTGGTTGCCAGGAATTGAACTCAGGACCTCTGGAAGAACAGTCAGTGCTCTTAACCACTGAGCCATCTCTCCAGCCCCCTCACCTATTTTTATAATTATTTCAAATGTAAATATATGGTCATACAACAGATTTATCATTGTGAGTGACTGTACTGACTTAATTCATCTTATATAACTATTTAGAGATAGCTGATATGATAAGCTCCTTACATAGTTTTTAAAAAAGCAAATTAAACTTGAATATCTATAATCCTGCACTTGGCAGATAGAGGCAGGAGACCATTTCAAGGCTAGCCTTGGCTACATAGTGAGTTCCAGACCAGCCTGGACTCTATGAGACAGGACTATACATGATCTCATGTAGAGAAATAATTGAAGAAGCCAGGTGTAGGAGCACATGCCCATAATCCCAGCACTTGGGAGGCAGAGGCAAAAGATTTGCAACCAAATTTTTTATAGCTGAAATCAGCAAGGCTTTCTAAACATGAGGAATGAATAATCTGCAAATTAATTTGTGAATAGTCACAAATTAAGAAAACAATTTGCGCTGGACGTTGATGGCGCATGCCTTTAATCCCAGCACTCCAGGCAGAGGCAGGAGGACCTCTGTGAGTTCGAGGCCAGCCTGGTCTCCAGAGCAAGTGCCAGGATAGGCTCCAAAGCTACACAGAGAAACCCTGTCTTAAAAAAAAAAAAAAAAAAAAAAGGAAAGAAAAAGAAAAAGAAAAAGAAAAGAAAACAATCGATGGAGGCCCTGGTATAGTTCAGTAGTAGAACACCTGCTAACATGCACAAGGCTTTCAATTCCAACTCAGAAAAAAGTTAGTAAACTTAACACATTAAGTGTAAATTTTAAACACAGGTGGAAGATCCTAAGGGAATGGAAAGACGTTCTGTGTTCATGGATTTTTAGATTTACTACTAGCAACCCCTTTGAAGAATGAACAAGAAAACCCTATAATTTATGTGGAATTGTAAAATTATCTATCCTACATAACCAAACAGTGTTGAAAATGAGCAAAGATGAAACCTGCACGCTTCCTGATTTTCAAACTCATTCCAAAGCTGCAGTATGAAAATGGTGTGGTGTTAGCATAAGGCAGATACAGTTAAGGGATAGAACTGGGACGCCAGAAGAAAATCCATGCATATATGGCACACTGGCTCTAAACAAGTGTGTCGTGATGGTTAACCTTGATGTTCAAACTCGGTGACACTTAGAATCCTGCAGGAACAAAACTGGGTGTTCCAGGGGGTACATTTCTACGGAGGTTAACTGGAGTAGGAGCACCTGCCCGGAATGTGGGCAGCACCATCGTAGACAGGCTGGGGTCCAGGACTTAATGAAAACAGTGAGTGGGGCACCAGCACTGGTCTGTTTCTGCTTCCTGAGTGCCATCGTGATGTGACCAGCCACCCCCTGTCCTTGCCGCCATGCCTGCCCTGCCAATGAGCCGATGTGAAAAATAACTCAAGATGTCAAGACCATTCAGAGGAGGCAAAGACAATGTTTTCAACAGATGGAGTTGAAGGCTGGAGACATGGCTCAGCACTTAGAAATGTGTAGTGCTGCTTTTCCAGGGGACCAACTTCACTTTCCAGCACCCTGGTCAGGTCTGGCTTCAGACTGGACACATCTGGCCTTGGGTATATGCATTCACATCCACCCTTCTCTCCACAAGTACATATAATTTAAAAGTATTAGTTTTAAATTTATAAAAATATTTATTTTAAAATATTTGATTTCATTCATATACATATGCAACACATGTGTTCTTAGTGGGCAAAAGAAGATGTTGGGATCCCCTGAAGTGAGAGCTACAGGCAGCTGTGAACCTCTTGAACATGGGTGCTGGGAACTGAATTTCTGCAAAAGCAGTAAGTGGTATTAATTGCCCCATTCCCAGTTTTTAGATAGGGTCTCACTGTGTAGGCTTGGTACCTGCCTGCCTCTGCCTCCCAAGTGCTGGGATTAAAGGCAGTTTCTTATCTTTTATTTAATGTGTCTCTGTGTGTACCATGTAAAGAGGGTGTTTGATCCCCTGAAGCTGGAGTTACAAACAACTGTGAGCCACCTGATGTGGGTGCTGGGAACCAAACTTGGGTCCTCTGGAAGAGCAGGTAGCTCTCTTAACTGCTGAGCCTTTTCTCCAGGCCTCAAATTAAATCTTCAGAAAAGTAAATGGTACTAAAGCATCGGATGTCTCATGTAAAGCAACGAGTCTGTAGGCTTCCTCATAGTATATGCAAAACTAAAAATGAACCACAACCTGACTATAAAGGCATGAAACTCAAAACATAAAGGGAATCTTTGTGGATTAAATCACAATTTCTTAGACTACATCAGCAACAGCACAAGCAAACAAATAAGTTGGTCTCTTTATGAACATGTGTGGTAATGAGATCTGAATCCAAGGCCTCCTACATGATAGGCGAGTGCTGTAACACTAAGTTATGTGAATCAGGGTCTCAGTGAGTTGGCCAGGTTAGATTCAAACTTAATTCTGTAGCTCAGGTTACCTCTGAACCATCTCCTGCTTCAGCCTAACAGAGAAGCTAGAATTACAGGCCTAACCACCTGGCACAGCTGTGTTATCAAAATAAAACTTTCAGCAGGGTTGGTGGTGCAGTGGTGTATGCCTGTGATACCAGCACCTGAGAGGCAGAGGGAAGATTGACAACACACTTTCAAGTTCCAGGCAGCCAATACTACATGCTGACACCTTGTCTCAAAACAAAACAAAACAATGTTTAAATGAAGGGTGATATCACTAGTAACAGGTCATTTTGGCATCTTCTGCCCTCTGAAAGGATTCGAGGAAAAGCACACATCCACCCCTCTAAAATCTACATTCGAAAGTCTACTCATGAGACAAGAACAGACAAAGCCAAATAAAGGCACATCCTATAAAACTCTGAGCCAACACTCTTCAAAAGTAGCAAGTTTATAAAAAGACTAAAAAACTCATAATTGGAGGAGACATGGATAAATGTAATGTGGGGTCTCAAACTGGCAAAATCCAGTATCTATATCTTTGTTAATAACATTGTAGAAATGTTACTGAGATGTCAGCGTTAGAGGAAGCAGAAGAAGGACGCCCAGGAACAACCTTTACCATTCTTGCAACTGTTTTGTAAATCCTCAGCAATTTGAAGAAAGGGCGGTGAGGAATGGATCAGCAATTAAGGGCACTTGTTGCTCTTACAGAGGACCTAGATTCGGTTCCCAGCACCTACATGGTAGCTCATAACCAGTTCCATGGGACTCAAATCTGCCTTCTAACCCTTGTGGGCACCCATATATATATATATATATATATGTGAATGCACCCACAACACTCATACACATAAAATAAATAAATCTAAATTTTTTAAAAATGATTTGAAGGAAAAACAAAGGTAGGTAGGGGTGTGGCTTAATGATGAAGTACTTATCCAGCTTGCATGCAGTCCTGAGTAAACATCAACATCATGAAAGAACAAATATACCTATGCTCTCAGAATCTGATAGGATGGAGGCAAGAGGATCATGAGATCAGGGTCATTCTCAGCTACATAGGAGTTCAAGACCCTGTCTCAGAAAACCAGAAAACATATACATATAAGCCACACTACTGAAAATTACCAACAGTTAAGTTCTTTGGGGATATATCTATTAGTCCATTTTTGTTTCTGATTCTCCTTTCAAATACAAGAAATAAATCTAGCCAGGCATGGTGGTTCACACCTTTAATGCCAGCACTCAGGAGGCAGGGGCAAGCGTATCTCTGAGTTGGAGGCCAGTCTGGTCTTTCTAGTGTCTCAAAAAGTAAACGATTTAATATCCCACCCTCTTCAACATTCGCATAACTTCTTTGCTAACATTTATGGAGTAGTGAGAGGGAATTGTGTAATATTCACATTGTAATTATGAAATAATGAATGGGGACTGTGTATGTTATTACCAGGTGAAAAATCTTAGTGCTAACAATCACTTGGCACATGAAACACAGAGCTCTATGAGGGAAGCAGATTTCTTTCTTTGTTCTTCTGTAAGATAACATTTTAGAAAAACAATGAGGTTCAGAGAAGGTTTTTTTTTCCCATTATTTCCCACTTTGTCTATTTATTTACTTATGGGGACAGGGAGACACACACATGTAGACATACTATGGTGTGCACGCAGAGATCACACGGCATTTTGCAGGAGTTGGTTCTCCTCCTACTGTGTGTTCTGAAGATCAAACTCAGGTTGGTAGCAGGTGCTCTTACCTACTGAGTCACCTCACTGGCCCCTTCATTTTTGAGACAGGATCTCACTCTGTATGCCTTGCAGTCTCAGAGCTCACTATGTTGGCCAGGATGACCTCAAATTCACAATAATCCTCCTTCCTCGGTCTAAGTACAGACTACAGTCATATATCATTACACTTCTCAGTAACTTTTACAGAGCTGGACATGGTAACTCACACCTTTAGTTCCAGCACTGAGGAGGTGAAAGAGGAGTCAGGCAGATCGCTGTGAGTTCAAGGCTAGAAGTTCATAGGTCAGAGTCAATGAAAATCCATGGACATGATTATTCCACTTGTCAACATGCTGTAAGCTTTATGAACGTCACTGTTGTTTTGTTCTTCTTTTGTGTTTCGAGACAGGGTTTCTCTGTGTAACCCTGGTTGTCCTAGGACTCTCCCTGTAGACCAGGCTGGCCTTGAACTCGCAGAGATTCGCCTGCCTCTGCCTCCAAGTGCTAGGATTAAAGGTGCACACAACCACTGCCTGGCTTTTTTTTTTTTAGAACACTTTTAGAAAATAAACTTTTTTTATTTTCTGTGTATGAGTATGTTGATTGCATGTCTGTCTGTGCACCACATGCATGCATTGCCTATGGAGGCCAGAAGAGGGCGATGGATTTCCTGGAACTGGAGTTACACCCAGTTGTGAGCTACCAAATAGGCACTTAGAAGCCACATCCTCTGTTAGAGTGGCCAGTGCCCTTAACCACGGGGTCATCTCTCCAGCTCCATGAACTTCAATTTGAGGGAAAAATATATTTGTGGTTTCTTCCAAGAATGCCAATTAGTCTATGAATAAATGCTTGTAAGTCAATGCAAAGTCAAAAGCCTCATTCTACACTCAGTGCCTTGGTTTCTCTTTCTGGCCAGCTGGTTCTGGGAAGAGGGCTGTGTCTGTGAGAGGAGCCAGAACTACCCAGGGTCTATCCATTTCCTAAATGCTCACAATTCTATTGACTTTAACTTACTTTTTCTTGTTTCCTTTCACGACCAAACAAGGTCACTAGGGCCTATTCAAACTAAGTACTGCTCAACAATACTCTCATCCTACCTCCTTACAGGAGGGAGACTTTATATCGTAGGGAGGAAGGGACACAGGAGTCTAACCTACCTATTAAAGATGTGGTTCATTTTCTTGCAGTTCTAATAGAAATGAATGCTAAATTAGAAAAGAACACCCAGGTCCCTCCTTGTTGATGTAAATCCACTTCAGAACACAATCAGGGTTATACTTAAGATCTTCCAACACTTTATTTGGTTTGCATTATCTAGGACAAGCGACATCATCTTTGTCCTGAGTACTGCATTTTCATTCCCAAGATAGAAAATACAAGTTTCCTTGGGTGTCTCCCACGGCAAGCTTCAAGGTAGAGTCGGGCCCCAGCCAAGGTTCCACGCAGCTCACTGGTCCATCACATCGGAACAAACCCAACTAAAACAGGAACAGAAATGGGGGAGGGAGGTGAAGCTACAGGCTTAGGGTCTCCTTATCAACTTATCTCAAATAAACACCTCAGATACAAGGCCACTGCAAGAGAGATTGAAGAAAACAACTTTCATCCTTTGCCCCTCCTTATCCTAAACGTTTTCTGGCAATAGCCCTTTCCCAGCTTGCATGCATGCATGTTCAAGTGTGTGAGTGTGTGTGCATGCGCACGCAGGCACACAGACACACACATACATACTTACCAGCTGCATACTGGGTCTCTCCCACAGCTTAACATCTCTATCCTTCGAAGCAGTCACCAGCAATCCAGGAAGCACATGGAGGGCTGTGACTGAGCCCAAGTGAATCTGAGAGGAGAGGAACAACGTGAGTTCTCTGGGAGACCTTTCAACTGAGGAAGCAGCAAAGGCTGCTGTGTCAGGCTTAGAAATTCCTCCCTCTCTCCACTGCCCTTCCCACACGCTTACCTTTTTTCCCTGCTGTGCCTTTAAATGTCTAGGCCCTGACCAGCTCTCCATGCAGGAATCTGAATCAGAGTGCACAGATGGATCTGTCTCTGGAGACTGAGTTTTAGGTGGCTTTGCTTTTTTCTGCCAAATGTTGTCTACAATCCATTCTCCTTCCTGGGTACACTCAGCCAAGCTCCACAGCATTCCGTCAGAGGTGGCACACAGAAATGCTGACTCTGCCATTTTAAGAGTGAAGTTAGAGAGCCAGGTCTCAGGCCTCTAGGACCCACCAGCCACCCTAAGTCACCCCAGAGCTCCTCTGCTCTTTTCACGCCCACTAACCAGACTCAGGTTTGGCCTGAGTGATTGCTACTGGGGACCCATTAGGATTCTTTATGTCCAGAATGAAGTCCAGGTTCTCATCAAACTCTCCTGACTCCTTCTGCTCCTGTGAAAGGATAGGTGATTAGGTAACTTGTCTGTCTACATGATACAACTCCACTAACAAAGCCACGGTGTTCTTCTTCAAGGTGCTCAGGACATTAAAAAAAAAATCTACAGTACAGTCCATGCATGGAATGGACGCATGTAAGAATCTACCCACGCAGGCCCCCAGGAGAAGATGTAGAACAGCTCTACCCTCTTGATGCTGGTATCACGCCCATCCCCAGTGGTAGAAGAGCCCCAGACCTGGCAGCAGGTTTTAGTGTCATGATGTCCTCCTCCACTTGAGTGAGGTCTCTGCAATGTGGACACATTTGTGTCTAGCCTCCTTCGGCAGACAACATGTCTGTATTTCCCATCTGCCAATACTCAGTGTCGTGCTCTCCTTTTTCTGCCACACAGTTCTATACTGCAAGTCACCTGTCTTCTTTCTGTGTCCAGGCACTTACATTGGTTTGGCCATGGTGAATTAGGATGACATAGACGTGCCTGTGCCTGGCATTTGGGGACTATGTACACTTCTTTCACTTAGGTTCATGTTTGGGAACAGAATCACTGTTTCCTAAACAGGCTTTGTAGGTTACTTTAGTAGGTAACAGGTTAGGATTTCATAAACTTTCCAGAAACAAGGGACCTCAGGAATTTGGGGAATGAAATATAGCTTTGACATACCCAAATTGGTTAAGTGTAAAACACCTATGAGGTAACTGCATCATGACAGAGACACAGTGCAGCCCTTGCCTTCAAATGCTAATACTGACAGAGTCAGCAATAAGAAAACTAGGGGACAGGCTAGGCATGGTGGCACACACCTTTAATCTCAGCCCTACAGAGCCAGAGTTCTAGGAAGCCTGCTCTATGGAGTGAGTCCCAAGACAGCCTAGGGCTACACAGAGAAAGCCTGTATCAAAAAAACCAAAAAGAATGAAAGAAAGAAATGAGGGAGGGAAGGAGGGAGGGAGGTAGGGAGGGAGAGAGGGAAGGAGAGAGGGAGGGAGGGAGGGAGGGAGGAAGGGAAGGAGATGACTTAACAGGTAGGAGCAATTGCCACCAAGCCTCACAACCTGAGTTTGGTCTCTAGAACCCACATGTATGAAGAACCAACCCACCAAGTTGCTTTCTGACTTCCACATGCATACTATGGCACACAAGTGCCCACATGGACAGACAGACAGACAGACAGACAGACAGACAGACACACACACCACACACACACACACACACACACACACACACACACACGTAAAACAAAAATTAAAAAAGATGAAAAAGAACTGGCATGGTGGCAGAGACCTCCCCAGCATTCAAGGAGACAAAGGCAAGCAGATGCCTGTGAGCTCTGGGTCAGTCATGTGAGGCCCTATATCAAAATGAAAAAAAAGGATAAGGCTTGAGGAGGGGAGAGGAAGGGAGGAGAGAGAGAAGAAGAGGAAGAAGGGGAGATGGGGAAGAAGGGGAGAAAGGGAGGAAGGGGAAGGAAAAGGAAAGGAAAAAACAAAATAACAACAACAAAAAACCCTCCTAGATCCCTGATTTTTAAAATTCTACAACCTTTGTTTGCACAATGAAATCTTACACGGAAACTCAGCATCCAATGATTGAAAATAGAGTCACTCCAGGGAAAGGGAGATGAGGGGACTGGAGCCACTGCTTTTCCCTTCCCTCTCTCCTCCATGATGGTTTCCAATGCATTGGTTCTAGAGTGTAGAATCTAGACATCCAAACAGGACTCACCAAGAAAGAAAGAAATGCAGAGACCCCCTGCTGCAGGTAGAATATGCCGTGCTCCTTGCTGGTGCACAGTATGGAAGAATGTGATCCGAACCTCCGGCTGTTTTATAAGAAAGTGAAAGACTGAGTCCAAGATTGCATCTCTTTAAGACCGTGTTTGACTTGGTCTCCAGGTAACCACGAAACCACTTTTCATTTCAGCTCAAGAAGTTTTGCATTTTGTATCTTACCAGATCACAGATGGAGTACACCCAGGCTTCATCTGTAGTAATTCCACGTTCTCTTTCATTATGATGAGAGACTGGCCATCAGGGGCCAGATCCAGACCTGTCAAGACTCCCAAGTCTTCTGGCAGAACTCGCTTCATGTGAAGACTGTAGCTCAAGAGACACACACAAGCAGGAAAGAATACTTCTTTAGCTAACTTCTCGCAGTGCTTCCCACACACTTCTCATGAATGAAGTGTAAAACCCAGTGACTCCTGCTCCTAACCATCTGTGGCATGCTTGTTTGCTGTTGCTGTCCCGGGGATGTGGCCGGAGCCTGTGGCATGACTCAGACAAGCACCCTAGCACTGAGCTACAGTCCCAGCGCCTGTCTCTCAACATGCACCATCACTCTCCCTTACTTGCTCAAAAGAGGGTTCTCTAACACTGCTGCTGTTTGTTTCCATCAATAAGCCCTGTGGATACTTCCTCCTGTAACAGGGCCCCCGACCTTAGTATGTCTCCAAACCTCAGCCCAACTGACTCCATGATGGAAGTACCATTCAGGCCATAAAACTCAGCACGTAAACAGCACACCAGCCAAAAATGGAAACAAAGACTTAATCCATCCAAGTCCACAGTTCTGGGCAGGTCTCTAAATATACTAACCTTGCTCTTTGGCCTGAAACTCTCTATGTTCACCAGGGTGGCCTTGAACTCAAAGAGATCTACCTGCCTCTACTCCTGAATGCTGGAATTAAAGGAATGCCCCACCACTACCTAACTTCTTCTTGGCCATCCGCAGCCCCTTTAGGAACCCAAGGTCTCGGCTATACCTGGAATTCTGGCCCTATACTTCAAGTAGGGCCAGAAAGACAGCTCAGCAGGTAGGCACAAGGTGTAGGAAAGAATTGATTCCAAGAATTGTCTCTGACCTCCATATGAGTAGCCTGAACAAGCACACCTCAGCACCACACACTACCACCACCACCACCACCACCAACAACAAAACCCCAGAATACTCTGAAAATTCCCATGCATAAATTTTAACACTATTGACTTTTCTGGGTTGAGTTAACACTATTTGCTTTTCTGGAACACCATTCCCTTCTTTTACTAGCCCAGAAAATTCTTCATTTTTTATGTCTAATTTTAAAGACCATCTCTTGCCGGGCGTTGGTGGCTCATGCCTTTAATCCCAGCACTTCGGAGGCAGAGGCAGGGGGATCTCTGTGAGTCCAAGGCCAGCCTGGTCTCCAGAGTGAGTGCCAGGACAGGCTCCAAAGCTACACAGAGAAACCCTGTCTCAAAAAAAAAAAAAAAAAAAAAAAAGACCACCTCTTTGCTACCATTTCTCAAGTTTTGCAGACCCATGAGCTACTGGAGGCCTTTTAAAAATTCAGCTGGGCCAGGAACAGTTGGCCTGAACAAGGGAGAGCACATCGACCCCAGATGCTG